TATGATCTATTTTGATGAATGTTTAATTTGTACTCAGAAAGAGAATGTATTCTGTACTTGTTGGATTAAGTGGTCTAAACATGTCAACTAAATGAAGTTAGTTAATAATGTTCAGTTATCTATATCCTTACTAATCTTTTGTGAATTTCCTTAATCAATTATTGAGAGAGGGGTGTTTACATTTCTAACTAAGATTTGGACTTGTCTATTTTTTCAGTTTTGTTAGTTTTCTTCATGTATTTTATTGCTTTGTTTTTAGGAACATGAACCGTTATGATTTTTATGTCTTCCTGATGAATTAGGTCTTTTATTATCATTATGAATTGTTCCTCTATTGACGGCAGTATTCCTTAACTTGAAGCCTATTCTCTATGAAATTAATATAGTAAGTTCGTATTTTTTGTATTGAATGTTTTTACTGTGTATTTTTCCATGCTTTTCTTCAAGTGTATGTTTTGTACAAAATATATTGTTGGGTTTTTTTTTTTTTTTTTTTTTTTTTTTTTGAGACGGAGTTTCGTTCTCGTTGCCCAGGCTGGAGTGCAATGGCGCGATCTCGGCTCACCGCAACCTCCGCCTCCTGGGTTCAGGCAATTCTCCTGCCTCAGCCTCCTGAGTAGCTGGGATTACAGGCACACGCCACCATGCCCAGCTAATTTTCAGTATTTTTAGTAGAGACGGGGTTTCACCATGTTGACCAGGATGGTCTCGATCTCTTGACCTCGTGATCCACCCGCCTCGGCCTCCCAAAGTGCTGGGATTACAGGCTTGAGCCACCGCGCCCGGCTGTTGGGTGTTTTTTTAATCTGATTTGGTTATTCCTCCCTTTAGTTATAGTGTTTGGCTCATTTATATTTAATGTAATTATTGATATGAATTGGTTTAGTCTATCATTTTTGTTTGTCCCATTGATTTTTGTTCTACTGCTTTTCTTTTTCTTTCTTTTGGAATAATTGATTTTTTAAGTATCCTATTTTAATATCTCTATTGGCTTTTTACCTACACCTCTTTGAATTATTATTATTATTATTATTAAATTTTTTGTTTTTAGAGACAGGGTCTCACTCTGTCACCTAAGTTGAAGTGCAGTGGCACCATCATAGCTCACTGCAAACTCCACTTCCCAGGCTCAAGTGATTCTTTAGCCTCAGCCTCCTGCATAGCTAGGACTACACGCGCATATCACCACTCCTGACTTATTATTGTGATTATTTTAGTGGTCACTTTAGGGATTACAATATGCATCCTTAATTTATCACAGTCTAGAGTTAATATTGTATGATTTTTACATACCATGTTATAATCTTGTAACCATATTGTTTAATTGACGCCTCCCATTTTATGTGGGAGTTTTGCCTATGTATTACATCTATATATGTTACAAAACCTGCATACAGTGTTAGAATTTTTGCCTTAGGCAGTCTGGTCAGTGAAATCAGGGAAGAAGGTATACAATATATATAGTTTAAATGTATTCACACATTTAGTGATGGTTTTCTTCCTGTAATTCAAAATGTCCATCTGGTGTAACTCCTTTTCAGCATGGCAATAATCTCTCCATTTTTATACCACCTTAATTTGGAAGGATACTTTTGCTGTACAGGTAATTCTAGGAAGGTAACTTTTTATTTTCTTTCAGGTTTTTCAGTGTGTCATTCCTTTGTCTTCTCCTTTCCGTTGTTATGATGAGAAAGCCCCCACTATTATAGCTGTTCCTCTATATGTAGAGTGTCATTTCTCTACAGCAGCTTTCAGATTTTCTCTTTATTTTTGATTTTTAACAGTTTGACTGCAGTATTCCTAACTGATCTTTGCATTTGTCTTTGCTTGGAGTTTTCTGAGCTTTTTATATTAGTACACTTATATTTAACCAATTTTGAGAAATCTTCAGCCGCTATGTCTTCAAATATGTTTTACTCCCCAATTCTTTATGTTCCTTTTCTTCTGGGACTCAACTTACTCATGTGTTAGACAGCTTAATAAGGTCTCACAGATCACTGAGATTCTACTCATTTTAAAAAATCTTATTTCTTCTCTGTTATTCAGATAAGATAATTTATATTAGTTTTCTTTATCTTTATTTATTTATTTATAATTTATTTTTGAGATGGAGTTTCGCTCTTGTTACCCAGGCTGGAGTGCAATGGTGCGATCTCGGCTCACCTCAACTTCTGCCTCCTGGGTTCAGGTGATTCTCCTGCCTCAACCTCCCGAGTAGCTGGGATTACAGGCACGCGCCACCATGCCCAGCTAATTTTTTGTATTTTTAGTAGAGACGGGGTTTCACCGTGTTGACCAGGATGGTCTCAATCTCTTGACCTCGTGATCCACCTGCCTCAGCCTCCCAAAGTGCTGGGATTACAGGCATGAGCCACTGCGCCCGGCTGATTAGCTTTCTTTATCTTTAGATCACCTTACTTGTTTCTAGTGCCTGCATTTTTCTCTTGACTGTGCACACATTTTTTCCTATTTCTTCTCATGTCTAGTGATTTTATTTTACTGTTACTGATTGTATAGGATACTATGTATTAAGTCTGAATTATGTCATCTTCCTTTAAAAGGTGTTAAGTTCTATTCTGGCAGTCAGTTAAATTATTGGCAGATCCCTGTAGTTTTGTCAGGATTGGTATAATTCTCTTTAGAGCAAGTCTATTTCAGTTTTGAAGTTAGTTTTCAGATATACCCCCTTTCTCTGGGCTTAGTCTTACAAAAACAGCATTTTGAGTGCTAATGCACTCAGTAAGGTGTCTTCACCCAGGATTGGCTGGATTTCTAACATGTTTCAGCATTGCATAGCTTCTGGTATCACTCACCATTCACCTCCTACTGCTGTTGCAGGTGATCTTTACAGGACTCAATGAATCTTACCCTGTGCACATGCTACCCAGTCTTTGGCCAAAGACCTGTAGTGAATACTCATGCACATACATAACATCTTCCCTTTTCATACCTCCTTCTGAAAGAAGGAATTCTGGGAACACCAACCTCAGAATGTACATCCATTATCTTGGTGTCCTGCTATCAAATCTCACAGGGCAGTAACACTGTGTATGTGTTAAGTGCATAGCGTGTGGTTTACTGAGATACTGTTGTGGTTGTGTTGGTGTGTATTTTTCAATAAAAAATTCCCTCTTTAAAGAAAACATGAGTGGGCGTGGTGGCTCACACCTGTAATCCCATCACTTTGGGAGGCCAAGATGGGTGGATCATGATGTCGGGAGTTCGAGACCAGCCTTGCCAAGATGGTGAAACCCTGTCTCTACTAAAAGTACAAAAATTAGCCGGTGTGGTGGCAGCACCTGTAATCCCAGCTACTCAGGAGGCTGAGGCAGGAGAATCACTTGAACCTCAGAGGCAGAGGTTTCAGTGAGCTGAGATCACGCCACTGCACACTAGCCTGGGTGACAGAGCAAGACTCCGTCTCAAAAAACAAAAACAAAAACAAAAAACACTTTAGGGTTAGAATGATCAGAAATCCAATATTGATAAAACTTCAATAATTCCTTCTAGATCAATTAAAATCGTTGAGTCTGCTAATGAATGGAAGAACTCTTTGAAAATTTTAAAATTCTAAAATCTGTTTTCAATTCTGCCATTTCTGGATTATCCCTATGTTCCCCTCCCATAATCCTTTTTATTCTTATATTCTGACATGCTTTTATATAGTACTACAAAAGGGTAAGCTAACAGAAGCGGAGATAAATTTTATTTTTCTTTTAAACAGAAGGAAAAAGGGGTTACATTTTTATAAATATCTATAAATATAGAAGGATAAGCAAAATCTTCCAAATAAATAAATAAATACTGCCACGTGACGAGAGATATTAGAAATTGTAGGAGCTACTTAGGCTTTTCCAGGAAGAAAACCTCTGATGCTAGTGCTGAGTTTGTGAGATTCCAACCAGCTTTCCACCAAAATCCTTTCGGGATTTTTCACTGGGGAGCCTCCAGTAGCTAATTATACAGGATAATACTTCCAACAGGAAATGAAAGCAAAAACATTAAACTATTTGCCATGCATATACTATTTGCCATGCTATATACTATTATACATAGTTTTACTGTTTCAGGATAGGAACCAATCCTTCAAGTTCAGCTTAAACCCATCAGGTAAAAACAGTTGTCCAATGTTTCTCTGATAAAAGAATAGATGAAAGCATAAGGTTAGTACATGATGGCAGTGAGAAAAAAAAAAAAAAAGTGGGAAGAAGCTGTTGTTGAATGGACGTTGCTTGTTAATATTCTGTCCTTCAGGTGGTCATTGAAAGAGAGGTAGGAAAATGGAGCCCCTTGCAGGAAGAACCGCAGTCATGGGGAAAAGCTGGGATGAGAGCTGACCGTCAGGCCCACTGCCTGCTGCTCCTCTGCTCCTGTACTGTTTGCTTTAGGAAGCTTTATTTCCTCCAGATAGCACTGGGGCTCCTGGGACTGAAAGCTGTCTTCGTTTAAGGCACCAAGAATTTCCAAGGGGATTGAGACCCAGATGTGTCAGCCTAGGAGTGTTTTAACTGTCCCAAGAGCCGCTGATGCTGCAGAGAACTAGAGACCACAGCCACGAGCCCGACCATGCGGTTACTTTTTGGTAACTTCCGTAACATGTCCCCTGGTTATTGGATTTCTTTCCCCTTGAGTCCTTGATGCCACTTCACTTAGAGAAAAGGAGACGATTTTCAGTCCACAGAAAACCTAACCCAGAGGGTTCCCAGTGTCTTAAGGCCTCCTTCTCAGTCACGTTGTTATTGTTTGTTCAGAATGGATTACTACTCAACCTGGAAGTAGAGCCTTAATTAAATGCCTCTTAGGAGAGCTGGAATTTATTTCCATTTTGAAAACATGGAATCTAGCAGGGTAGGTTTTCATGAGCCAATATAAAAGCGATTCCTAAGACCAAATTTTCAAAAACTGGAGGGGGGGCTAAGAGGTGAGGCTGTATCATGAGCCACTTGGGAACAGAGTGGGGCCATTCTGGGCCCTCTGGCTGTGGTTGCAGAGAGGGAAACAGTGAGACACAGGGTGCCCAGCCTGCAGGGAGGCTGAGTTTTCCATTATGATTCCTGCCTCAGTTCAGCAACCATCAAGTCTAGTTGTCAAGTTTTCACCAGCCTACCACTGGGGTTTTGACAGCTCTTCTCCAGAGACGTTCAAGGAGGAATGAAGGCTTGGAAGTAGTGTTTTCATCAACTCGCCCCATTCAGCTGTGAATATCAAGGTCTGCACACTCAAATGCCAGCGGGATCGGGGCACATAACATAAAAAACACACAGGGCAGTGGGGATGACTCTGGGATCTCTGGATCGCCTCTTCCCTACACCTTCAAAGTTGTGAGCTCAGTAACCCACTGCTTTTTTTCTTTTTTCTTTTTTTTAATGCTTAAAGGTGGTTAAAGAAGAGAGGCCCAAGGAAAAGAAATATGTTGGGGAGAGACCCTTTCTCTCTACCTTTAGGAAGGGGAAATTTCTAATTTACCTGTTGGGGTTTCCTATTCAGAAAGGTGCTCTACGTGGAGTGAGGAAGGCGGTGAAACCCCATGACTTGAGCCTCAAAGGTCGATCGATTCTCTTAAGACCTCCTGGGGAAGGGACCCCACAGAAGCAGCGAATTCCATACATTGCCCCCGTCATCTTTCCCAGCCTCGAAACGTCAAGGGAACTGGTCCTTGGGAAGAGCTGCGTTTGCTGAAGGATGGGTTAAAGAGGGTGCCCTTCCAGCGGCCCTAGATGAACTTGGGGAAGGGACTGCAGCCTTCTGGGCCTGTTCCCTCAGCGTGGTTGTTCACCCGACCGCCCCGGACCATCCCTAACGGGTCGCTGCCCACTGGGCTGTTGTCCTCGGCGCTCAGGAGCTCCTGCGAGCAGGAGGCTGGGGCCGGGGTCATCCGGACCCGGGGCTTCAGCACGTTCAGGGGGTCCAGCTCTGCCTTGTCCTCGGCGCTCCGGGTGTGCCGCCGCGGTTTGGGGGTGTTGAAGTGAATGAGGGGGATCTCGTTCCTGCGGGACAGGAACTGGGAGTACGGGGGTGGGTTCATGCCTGGCAGGAAGGCCCTCTTCGCCCGGCCCAGACTGACCAGGAAGTGATGCTGGGGAGACAGGTAGACGTCGTAGCCGTTCTCCAGCCTCTGGGGTCGGAACCTGCAGCTCTCCGGGTCGAAATAGTGCTGGAAGGGCAAGAGGGAACCGCGTGAAGGCGGGCCGGCGGGGGCCCCACCGGTGCCCAGCTCCTTCTGGGGCCACACGCCGGTGCCCGCCAGCCTGAAGCCCTGCAGTGCCCAGGGCGCTGGGCCTTCACCCCATTGTTCCCGGCTAGGGTAAGGTGGTTTTGACTATGCTGAAGCAGGATGGCTCCTCCAGTTGAGAGATCGCGACCGCTGGGGTCTGCGCTCACTGCCTGAAGGCCCGGGCTGGCCTGGCCTCTGGCATTCCTGGAGTGGGCACCACCTCGTCCTTCCCGCCCTCTACCTTTTCCAAGCCTCTGCTGGCTGAAAGTTGTCTTGGCGTTGTCTCCTTACTGGAGAAAGGAGACGGGATGGAGTTTATAGGGTCAAACATGAATGAGGGCATTGATGTCAGAGAGGTGACACGGTATAGGGATTGGAGACATGAACTTTGCCGACCGAGGAGCTGAGTTTGAGTCCCCTACCACGAGCACTGGGTTATACTGAGTGCCCCTCCGAAGGCCTTAACATGTTATTTCTTATAATCCCTAAACTCCACACAGTAAGTAGTTTATAGACCAGGACTATCTACATTGCCTAGAAGGTTTCAACAGATGTTTAGTTAGTTATCTGTATTTCAATAGTTGTTCAACAGATTTTTTTTTTTTACCCTACTCTAGCCAGACACTATTGTAGGGGCTGGGATGCAGCAGAAAGCAAAACAGAAAGTCTCTGTTCCTGCGGAGTTTCTGGTGGGTATGAGTGGTAGTAAGAGACTCCTGAGATAAGCAGTCCTACTATTTTACTATCTCAAAATCCTCAAAAAGAGGCCAGCAGCCTTCAGTTTGGGAAATCCTTTGCTCACCAATCCGAGTGAATAGCTATCACAATTGGGGCAGGGGTAATTAATTAAAAATCTTCAACTGGAGGGAGCTCCACAGGTCACGTGGTCTAGTCCACTTCACTTTTTCCAAGTGAAAATGAAGTTTGGAGAAGTGAGGAGATTTACCTAAAATCACAGCTAGTCCCAGACTCAAGAGGACACCAACGGCTTTTCACTCTTTCTAATGTACTTTACAACGCAAATTGACATGATTTGAGGACCTATGGACAGCATACCAGGGCATGTGCTAGATCCCAAAATGGGTATGAATGGGCAGTGCAGACTCGGAGCTGAGAGCCTGGGATCTAGAGCCTGACTGCCTAAGTTCAAACCCCAGCTATTAAACCTGAGCATTCAATACTTAGACCGCATGACGTACTCAGGGGAAACGGGTCACCAGGGTACACTGCAAATGGAATTGTTAAGCTAGAAAAGTCTATGTCCTGTCAAAAAATTAGATAATTCTTTGCAAATGGCAACTAACGCAAAAAGAAACTCACTGATCCAAAAATGTTGCCTCTGAAATCCATGCAGAGGTATCTTCTGCTCATCACACCTATAATCACCACAAAGCCAGCATCCTCTGATCTGATCGTCAGGGCACCTATGGAGAAAACCATGGTGGGACAAAGATTCATTGCACATCCAATTCCCACCTTCAAGCACCTCCTGAAAACCCACCTTCATGAAACCTCCCTGGATTGATTTTAAGGGTGGTGATGACTTCAACACCTTTAAATTCAGCCTCATTTCTACATATTCAGCCTTTCTTCTGACATCCTCTCTTAACCCCAGCACACACAGTCATTCACCTTCCGCTTCATCTTGTTGCCTGTATAGGGCACTCTGAACTCCTGACAGTCATCTACAAGTGTTGAACACATGTTTCTCTCTCTCTACCTGGACTGTCTTTATTTTCTCCTTTGCCTTGCTAATACCTTTGAACGTTTGTGGTGATAGTCACATTGTTGCATGCCTTCTACTCTGTGATTTTTAAATCTGTGCAGAGGACCGGGCGCGGTGGCTCATGCCTGTAATCCCAGCACTTTGGGAGGCCAAGGCGGGTGGATCATGAGGTCAAGAGATCGAGACCATCCTGGTCAACATGGTGAAACCCCGTCTCTACTAAAGATACAAAAAATTAGCTGGGCATGGTGGCACATGCCTGTAATCCCAGGTACTCAGGAGGCTGAGGCAGGAGAATTGCCTGAAGCCAGGAGGCGGAGGCTGTGGTGAGCCAAGATCGCACCATTGCTCTCCAGCCTGGGTAACAAGAGCGAAACTCCGTCCCCCCCCCCCCAAAAAAAAAAAAAAATCTGTGCTGAGATGGGCCAGGTGCAGTGGCTCACACCTGTAATCCCAGCATATTGGGAGGCTGAGGCGGGTGGATCATGAGGTCAGGAGTTCGAGGCCAGCCTGACTAACATGTTGAAACCCCGTCTCTACTAAAAATACAAAAAATTAGCTGGGCATGGTGGTGTGTGCCTGTAATCCCAGCTACTCAGGAGGGTGAGGCAGGAGGATCACTTGAACCTGGGAGGCAGAGGTTGCAGTGAGCTGAGATTGTGCCATTGCACTCCAGCCTGGGCGACAGAGCAAGATTCCGTCTCAAAAAATAAATAAATCTATGCTGAGATATCTTTCAAGGATCCAGCTTGTCCATAGAGTCTGATTCTCCACTTGGATGTCTGTGTAATTGTCTAATACATTAGTCAACACCCAGTATGTGTACAGAACGTTAGTAGAGTTGATCTCCCTCTTCCTTCTCTAGTTATTGAAGTCACTCATTCTTCAAGACCAGGCTCAGGCGTCACCATCTCTGTGAAGACTTTCCTCATCTTTCCGTTCAAAATCAGTTGTTCTTTCTTCTCAGCTCCTCAGGACAATGCCTTCACCTAATCTATTACAGAATGTACTCCATTTACCTTGCTTTAACTAAATTTACTTAGTTAGTGCTTTCCTTAGAGTGAGCTACTTAGAAGAAGGTATGACTGTTTACATATGTTATATCGATATATGTCATATGTTAGAATCGATACCAGTGATGGATGGAATTTCCTTCTTGGACTCCCTTGGATTCGCTCTTTGTCATCTTCTCACTTGGTGGAGACCCCTCCCGGTGCAATCCCTCATGGACTTTCAGGGTCCCGTCTCAAAAACTAGTCTCCGACAAGGTCCTGAGAGCCATTGACACTACCTTCATCTTAAGTAACTGATAATGGCTTTAAGTATGCTTTCTGTTTTGTGGCAAGCACAATCAGACTATATGCTAGCGTAACATGAGTGATAATTCAGCAAGACTTCTGCCCCAAATGTTTAATTCCCTGACATTTTCTGTTAAAAATCGTTACTTTAGGTCTTTGGGACCACTTCCAGTTGCCGATCACAGAATTTCCAGGTGCAACCCATCTGACCTCATAGCCCCCAGGGAGGCAGCTAGAATCCCACTCAGGGTTTCTAATTCCTCTTCTGCAACTGTAGCTTGGAGAGGCTGTAAATGCCCAATATCTGTGCCTAGCAAGTGATGGAAACTTGTGGGGGTGATTTAAAGCCCAAACCTCCTCTCCCACCCCATGTAGGCTCAATACAAGGACCTTTGAGAAAGTAAGCGGCAATAATTACTAGCTGAGCAGAAATCATGATAGGGACTGAAATTAGAATGACACAGAACAGAAGGAATGAGGGTGGAGACAATCCCCAGAAAGCTGAGAAAGGAAGAGGACCAAAGAGAAGCTACTTTGTTTCAGAGTTTGGCTGAGGGGAACCTTGAGGGGAGCTTCCAGAAAGTGGACTGGGGTATGCCAGCCGCAAAGGAGGCTGAAATTCCTGCAGGACGGCGCCTGCCTGTGTGTATCAAATGTATGGCTAGTTTTGTGGTAAACCTTTGCAGAAGCCTAAGGCATATGTAAGAAATGGTTTCTGTTCTGGTGACTTTTCAGTCTAACTGGGAAAAAAAAATCCATGTAGTAGCGGTCTTTGAGCGCTTTACGTATTTTAAATTCTCAAAACAAATGTTATATGGTTGGTGCTAATTATTATTAGTAGCAGTAGAAGTAGCAGCAGCAATATCCTAATTTAACGGATAAGGAAACTAAGGATTGAAACTCAGGTCAGAAGCATCTTCTTCCTACTACCCGGTAGTAAGCCTCCAGCAGAACTCACCGGGAGTCTGAGAAGACACCATCAAGTGCTAAAATACATGCTGCAGGCAGTGAGGACAAGGAATCACGACGCCGAGGGCTCAGGGAAGAGGCACCGAGCCAGGCACCAAGAACCAGGGTACTTAGATTCTGGTCCCAACTGTGCCACTTGGTAACCTTGCAGCCTTGGGCAACTAGCCTCAGTTTCCTCAGCTGTGAAATAGAACAATAGCTGTCCTGCCTACTTCACAGGGTGATGATGAGAATGAAATGGGATAATAGTGGCAAAAGTGACTCCAAAGTGTTGAGCAAAGAGAGGACATCACGTGGCTTGCTCTGACCTGCCGTTTATGCCGGGTCCATGTCTTGACAGGCATGCTGTGATGCTTGGGGTCAGTGTGGGCACTGTGTATGGCACACACGTTCCTGGTCTCCAGAGCCAGCCCCCCTAGAAAGCATCCTGCAGGCTTGAGGAACGGTGAGCAGCTGCTGCTGAGGGCATACGGACTCTTGCATCAAGGTGAGCCAATGTGAAAGCTTGGAGAATGTGAGAGAATCAGAGTTTCTTTCCTTTGCACTTTCGAAAGGCGTCTGTTTGCAGTCTGCACAGATTCAAGGGAGGATTTTGGAGAATGAAGGAACAAATGACTGACTGCTGGAGCCACCAGCCCTGTTGAAGCCAGGCAGGCTGGATGGACCTCGCCTTCAATGAGGGAGGTGTCTCTATGTGTGCGACCTTGGAAGAGCATGGGGTTTGGGGTCATTTCCTCTAGGGCTTTTAGACTTGTGTGACCCATCAGCCAGTTATTTAAGTTCTTTAACTCTTGTTTTTTCATATGAAAAGTGAGGATGGCAGAAACATTTACCTCATTTGGTCATCTTGAAGACATAATGAGATAATGTTTTTATCCTTTAGAAAGCACTTGCCAAATGCTAGTAATTTTTACTGTTACTGCTTGGCCTCAACCTCTGCTTATACAAGGAGAAAATTATCTACTTTGTTCTACACTTATGGCCAGTAAGGGATAAATAAGATGAAGGTAGTGAAGTGCTTTGAGCATCTGAAAAGAAAAATGGATGAAGAAGGGTTAAGGAGCCCAGCGGTAACTCAGCTTCAAGTAAAGGAAGTTCCTGTGGGGAAGATGGAGGAAGAGAAAATATCAGGATCTAGAAAGTGACAAAACCGGGGCCGGGTGCGGTGGCTCAAGCCTGTAATCCCAGCACTTTGGGAGGCCGAGGCGGGCGGATCACGAGGTCAAGAGATCGAGACCATCCTGGTCAACATGGTGAAACCCTGTCTCTATTAAAAATACAAAAAACTAGCTGGGCGTGCCTGTAATCCCAGCTACTCAGGAGGCTGAGGCAGGAGAATCGCCTGAACCCAGGGGGCGGAGGTTGCGGTGAGCCGAGATCGCGCCATTGCACTCCAGCCTGGGTAACAAGAACGAAACTCCGTCTCAAAAAAAAAAAAAAAAAAAAAAAAGTGACAGAACCAGGGGCAATAAGCATCTCTCTTATGCTGTTTCCATATAATGAGGATAAAGAGGAGCCAGAGGATGGCCTTGTTCATGGAACAGGTGATATGGACATCTTAGGGGTATTTTAGCAGCACTTGTGAGTCTCAAGGGAGCTTGAAGCATCTGGTATGCAGTAATTTCATTTTGTCAAGTCCAATGACATGAAGATGGGGTGTGCACTCAACTCTTAACAATTTATTACAGCAAAATCATAAAATGAACCAGATTTTACTAGAATTATATAATTAGGAGGGGACAGATACACCTTACATTTTAGGTTTCCGTCAATGTAAAAACATTGCTTCACAGTCACTGATGAGGCCATTACAAAGCCTTCAGTAGACATTTAATTAATTGTGTTTCTTATCTACATGCATTAATCTTTCCTCTTTCTTTTAGGTAATTTTGTTTTTTTGAGATGGAATCTCTCTCTGTCACCCAAGCTGGGTGCAGTGGTGTGATCTCGGCTCATTGCAACTTCCACCTCCCGGGTTCAAGTGATTCTCCTGCCTCAGCCTCCTGAGTAGCTGGGATTACAGGCGCGCCACCACGCCCAGCTAATTTTTGTATTATTAGTAGAGAGGGGCTTTTACCATGTTGGCCAGGCTGGTCTTGAACTCCTGACCTCAAGTGATCCTCCCTCCTTGGCCTCCCAAACTGCTGAGATTATATGTATGAGCCACCATACCTGGCCTCTTTTGGGTAACTTTTTTTTTTTTTTTTTTTTGAGACAGAGTCTCACTCTGTCACCAGGCGCCAGGCTGGAGTGCAGTGGCGCGACCTCGGCTCACTGCAACCTCTGCCTCCTGGGTTCAAGCAATTCTCCTGCCTCAGCCTCCCGAGTAGCTGGGACCACAGGCACATGCCACCACGCTCAGCTATTTTTTTTGTATTTTTAGTAGAGACGGGGTTTCACCATGTTGGTGGGGATGGTCTCAATCTCTTGACCTCGTGATCCAGCCGCCTCAGCCTCCCAAAGTGCTGGGATTACAGGTGCGAGCCACCACACCTGGCCTCTTTTGGGTAACTTTGAATGGTAGTATGTAATTTTTTTCCTGTGCTTTCCCCCTCTCATAATACACATGACAATTGATTGAACAGAACAGAAGGTTATCTATATAAACTAGAAAAAGTAGATCTCTCTCCCACTACTCTGACCTTGAGTTCACCTCCCCACATTCATGTTTAAGTCTTTAAAGATGCAATGTTAAGCTAGTGCTATGTCTAAGAAAACAAAATCACATTTCTATTTAAAAAAAATCTGAAGTTGGGCCGGACGCGGTGGCTCAAGCCTGTAATCCCAGCACTTTGGGAGGCCAAGGCGGGTGGATCACGAGGTCAAGAGATCGAGACCATCCTGGTCAACATGGTGAAGCCCCGTCTTTACTAAAAATACAAAAAATTAACTGGGCATGGTGGCGCATGCCTGTAATCCCAGGTACTCAGGAGGCTGAGGCAGGAGAATTGCCTGAACCCAGGAGGCGGAGGTTGCGGTGAGCCAAGATCGCGCCATTGCACTCCAGCCTGGGTAACGAGCGAAACTCCGTCTCAATAAATAAATAAATAAATAAATAAATAAAATAAAATAAAATAAAATAATAAAAATAAAAATAAAAAATCTGAAGTCAGTTCAATTTATTTTGCTGCTTCTCAGTCATTTTAATTCACTCCAATTAGCACTCAGTGATCCCTTGGGGCCTGATACGAGGTGGGCTTTCAAGGAAAAGGTCTACAGTCCAAACTGGCAGCTCAGGAGCGTGACTCTTCACCCTCATTCCCCACCACAGCCAGCCTGTTCTGTTCTACCCTAATTCTTGTTTAGGAGGAAACGTCTTTAGGGAGTTCCTTTCAGCAGTGGGATTCCAGGAGTTGAGACAAGTTGTGTAAACATTCTCTAGTTGGATGCAGCCCTTTCCATCTAAGATAATCAAAATAATTCACCATAATCTACTATCCTGCATTTTAAATCACATACAGTCTTGAATTGGAGGAAGGGTAGCCCTTCCATGAGAGGTGCAAAATCGTATTTCCTAACAGTCTGATAGTGAGCTGGGTGGCAAGGCAGGATGACAGACTACAAGGACTTGAAGAGCTGTGTCTTACTTTTTGGTCACAGAGCTTGGTTTAATGCCAGGCACATTGTAGATCCTACTAAATATGCATTGAATAAAATGATAAAATAAAATGACTTCGGATGCATCAAGCGTATCCAGATTTAATACAAACTTTTGCCACGAGGCTCAAACTTGGTTTTCATGATGTTGACTCCTGAGTCTTACTATATCCTCTGGAGTTCTGGAACCTGTTTGGAGAGAACTTTTCTCCCTCCTTTTATCTCCTATCAACATGTATTTAGCACTTAAGAGGTTTAAACTATTAACTTTTCATGTTATATATCTTGCAACCAGGCTTAAGGACCCTTAGCTCTTAGAAGAATAAATGCCTTGCACACAGCAAAATAATTAATTAATTTTTTTACAACAATAAAGGGCAAAACATAATTCCTATGTTGTCTTTGGTTAGAGATTGTGATTACTTTTTCTTTCCTTTAATTTGATCTATATTGAATCAGTTTGCATTTTTCTGTATCCTTAGAGATATTTTCACACGTTTTCCTAAAATGGAAGATCCAGCCTTTTTCAATATCTATCCCTGTTCCCACCACATTACCCCTGACATAGGTACACACAAAGGGGCTCTCATTTAAATCATAGCTAATGGATTGATTATTGTGGATTGTAATCCAACTCTCCACAAACCTGATCTTTAAAAACATTCCAGTTGTCTCATGTTGCCAACCTGACTAGATTGACTTGCTACTGATTTTCACCTTTCACTTCCTCAGAGAAGAATCACCAACTCATACTGCGTATCTGGGTATCTGAAGCACCCCTTAAACCTGTTGGATGGATGGATGCATGGACAAATGAATGGGTGGATGGATTGTGTACTTGGCCGTTCTAACCAAGACAAGTCTGTCTTTAATACATTTTTCCAAGAATTTTTATAAGGCCAAAGTTGGAAAGAGCCCCGAGATTTATCTATTACAATCTGGGTAGGACCCAGGAATCTTCTTTACAATTTCCCTAGTTAACCCAGTCCAAAGTCCATGAGCTGAAACTTAGTGTCTGCTGATCCACCTGGCTCCATTTTCTGTTAGCCTCCTTGCCTGTCTTTCTGTGCATTTTTTGAATCTTTTGACAGAGCAAAGGGAACATGGCTCCTACTCTGGGAAGGGCTTTAGTTGAAACAAATTATTCATGTAGAGAAAAACCAGCAAATACTACTTAGGAGAGTGAAAGAAGCTTCCCCTAAAATTTACACACACGCACTCACACACACACACACACACACACACTCTCTCTCTCTCTCTCTCACACACACACACACACACATGCACAATAAGACACTAAGTGGTCCCTGGGCAGAAAGCTAGGAGGGTTAGTTGGCTTAGCCCTCCAGTCTAGTCCCCCACCTCCCCAAGCCCCCTGTAGATGGACAACAGGGGCGCTCCCCCTTCTTCCCAGCCTGAAGCCCTACTCACTGTAGATGGTCTGATGGGGTGCGCCATCCACATGGCCATTCTTGTGGATCTGCAGGTGGTAGCTGTTCCTGGCTGTGGCTGTGTACAGGTGGATCAGACCACCCCAGCTGGAGGCGAGCAGTGGGGAGGCGTTGGGATAGGCTCTGAGGACGCTCATGCAGCAGACGCTGCACAAGGCACAGACCCAGAGCCTGAGGCGGGCCCCCAACATCGTGCTCTGCTCTGAGTGGCTGGAGCTGAGATTGAAACCTGACACTCCTGTCGGGCCTCTCCTGGCCCAGGCCTCGCTGGCCTTTTCCTTCTCCCTTGCAAGTAGCTGGTGTGAGGATTGTAGACTGGATTCCCTCCTTTTTGCCATCAGACTTTTAAAGGGTAGCACTGTGACATCAAACAGGAAAAACTCCACTGTCCACATCCTCTGTGTTGTAATCAGCCCATTGAAAGAAAGTGCAAAGACCCCGGAGGCACACGGAAGGCACGTCGGTTCCAGACACACACACCCCTCAATTTCAAGCCAACGCTCCAAAAAATGAATGACGTGTGGGCAAAAGTTATCTGCCACTCTGGGCTGTCTGTTGACCTGTCCCACTTCCATCAGGAAATGTGAAGGCAGCCAGCGGTTCCCAAAAAAAATCCAGCTTCAGTCAAGCAGTCAACCGACTCTTAGGCAATTAATCTCCCGTCGAGTGTACTTATTCTGGTTTTCTTTAAATTCCAATCAGCAAGTATGTACCCCGTGCTTAATCTGTGAGCAGCATCTGGTGGGTAGCTTGCAGGATATAGAGATACATGACACCATCAGGAGGATGGCATCCTCTGAGACACCCCTCCCATTCATGAAAGATGGGAGCTGGGAGCAGGGGCACAAAAACCAAAGTTGCCATTTTGGGAAGATTTTGTAATGCAGAAAAAGAAACAAGGCCTCGAGGTCACCGGAAGTGCCAAGATTCGCTCTCTCAGTTGCCCTGGTTTGGACTATCAAGGGCAATTAAACTCGTAGTCTCTCCAATAGTAAGGAGACTCATTCAGAGACCTCATGGGGATCGGAAAGGCTGCTGGCTGAGCATCGGGGATCTGAGCCTCAGGACAGGGTGTCCCCACACTTAGTGTCTGTCCATGAGTGCTCCACTTGGCACTGGATGCCTGCCTGCAGGTGAGGTTTAGAGTGTGCCCTCCGGGAAGCTACACCTGATGTCGGGGAAATAGTCCTGGCACGTACAGTCTAAAGGGGAGCAAGCTACTGAAACACACACCTGAAAAAACACACAAGGAGACTACTACTCTTCCAATTTCCCATGTACTGAGTACATGCCATGTATAGGCATCAAGCTGGAAATCACATACAGGTCGATACAGGAGACAGCAAGATGTGATGGAGGAGGCAGATAAAAATAAGTAACCGTAATACAAAATGAGTGCAACCCTACAGGTATAGACAGAAAGAGATGGCATTTGTTACCTTACATTTACAGCTTTAAAAAAATAGTTTACAAAGCATTTTTCACATCTGTTAGCTCATTTCAACCTCACTGCCGCTCTGTGAGACAGGCACCATGCATTATCAAGATTTTAACACTTTACATGAAGAAATGGAGATCTTAGTGTTTGCATGTCCAAAGGCACAAAGCAAATAAATGGTAGAGCCAGGACAAAGGCGTCGCATTCCCTAGGCTGCTTCTCCACAGAATCACAGCAGCAACTAACACTCGTGGAGAGTGTACTCCTCCGCCACCTGCTCCAAGTGGTTTACTCGTGGTAACCCATTTCATCTCCAGAATAACTCTTTGAGGTGATGCTGTTATTTTCTTTATATGCATCAGGAAACTGATGCACACAGTTTAATCAACTTGCCTAGAGATAGAAAGCTAACATGTGGAAGAGGTCCAAACCCATGCAACATGTTAGAGCTAGAGCCAGGAGAGCCAGGAGCTTGATAAGAAAGTGCAGGCGGGCCGGGTGCGCTGGCTCACGCCTGTAATCCCAGCACTTTGGGAGGCCGAGGTGGGTGGATCACGAGGTCAAGAGATCGAGACCATCCTGGTCAACATGGTGAAACCCCGTCTCTACTAAAAATACAAAAAATTAGCTGGGCATGGTGGTGCATGCCTGTAATCCCAGCTACTCAGGAGGCTGAGGCAGGAGAATTGCCTGAACCCAGGAGGCGGAGGTTGCGGTGAGCTGAGATCGCGCCATTGCACTCCAGCCTGGGTAACAAGAGCGAAACTCCGTCTCAAAAAAAAAAAAAAAAAGAAAGTGCAGGCGGCAAAACACTCCTCTGTTATTCTCTAAAAACCCGGGCTTTTGCCCAGGATGACTCTCTAGGACGCATGGTGCTTGTCTCCCCCGGTTGAAGGGAAGAAGCGTGACATTAAATGTCTACGTGTAAAACAGTTTTCTTATAATCCACGGAATGGATTATAAATATAGTGGCACATCTTAGCTACTTGAAGAAATAGCTAGCTTTCAGAATTGAGATGCAAATCGCTTAGGAATATTTGCCCTGCGTTCCTCCTGGTTGTGGAAGGTAAGGAGATGGGAAGTAACTGTAAAGCAATCAGCAGCAATTGAAAACCTTCTCTGTGTAAGAGATGAAAGGGAGGAAGTGGCGCTACAAAGGCAGGACTAACTTCTCTAGGGGCTTGCAGTGTAACTGAGCAGGAAACATCTTTGTTCGATACAAGGCACTGTGTGGGAGGAGCTTAATTACTAGGACCAAATTAGTGAAGATGTGGTACTATATTTATAAAACGTTCTGTGGCCATTACTAAAAAAGCCTACTTTATGCATTAGCATTTAGTGTCATACATCTTCTAAACAACCCTGGGGAAACAAGAACCATGTATCCTAGAGATTCACTCTGGGCAAAGGCTTGGGTTTAGGAGAGAGTCGCAGAGGAGTGCTTTGCTGCCTGCACTTTTCTATTAACCCCTTCACAAAAAATAAAGGTTGGCCGGGTGTGGTGACTCACACCTGACATCCCAGTGCTTTAGGGGACCGAAGTGAGCAGATCACTTGAGGTCAGGAATTCGATTAGCCTGGCCAACATGGTGAAATCTCGTCTAAACCCCATTTAGTAAAAACCCTGTCTCTACTAAAAATACAAAAAAAATTAGCTGGGTGTGGTGGCGCACACCTGTAATCTCAGCTGCTTGAGAGGCCGAGGCAGGAGAATCGCTTGAACTGGGAGGTGAAGACTGCCGTGAGTGGAGATTGTGCCACTGCACTCCAGCCTGGGAGGCAGGGTGAGGCTCTGTTTCAAAAAAAAAAAAAAAAATTGAAAACCAACAAAACAAAACAGAAGAAAGGTCATGGTGGGTGGATGCTGTGGTCAAGGAAAGCTTTGAGGAAAGGAGAGAATTGAGGGAGCTTTGTAGAATGCACAGGGAAGGGTTTTCCCCAGCACCTGGCCAGGCCTGATGGAGAGGGAGCGCAGGTGTCTCGGGATGAGTCCACAGTCATTGGGTCATTTGCTTAGCTCCTGGAGCGCCTGGGGAAGGGCTCCTCCCTGGCTGCTTCAGCTTGTCTTGTTAGAAAAGACAGCCCGGTGCCGGCTTACCCACGTCCAATGGCTCCCTCCAAGAAGAAGCCCTGAGTGCTTAGCATGTGGCTCTAAGGCAGAGTACAGCCCAGAGGAGCAGATTTATTTCTAAGGAGGATGGGAGGAGAAGCTGCATTTCCCACTTGGAGAGAGTAAAGGAAGGTGTAAGAATCTCAGACGAATTCTCCGCATTTGAGATAGGGAAACACTGAGAGCGGAGATGAGGATTTGCCCATTGGAACATGTAGATGGCAGAACATCCAGCTCCTGGCTGAACTCCCTACTGGTGGCTTCCAAATCTGGCTGCTCACTGAAACCACCTGTGGAACTTTAAAGCCATAATTGCCCCAGGACCAATCTTAGGTCTACCAGCTCTGCAGGAGCAAAGGCAAGTTATTTGCACTTTATTCAAAGCCACGTCGGAGATTCTAATCCTCCACACAAGATGCGGCTGGTACTAAAGTACTTATCAATAAACAGGCTTTGAGCGCCAACCGCACATCAAGCACTGGAAATAGTATACAGAGAACAAGTCCCGCTTCAGTGGCTGGCTCAACTTTCCATTCCCTTCTAGGACGTCCAGCCTAACTGCAGGTTAAGATGTAAATGGGCCTTTCTAGGGAATTTAGTACTGGATGCTAAATCAGTGCCCTGTGCTGGCAAGCAGCCTTTTCCTTGAGCCCAGTGTGTGGTCTCCTCTGAAGCTTCAGTGGGTAAGAGAAGGGAGAGGCCAGGAGATGTCGGTTCCTGTCCTTTGCACCTAGAGGGCACTCCTCCGTCACAGTTCAGGTCCAAGGGTCTGGGAACCAGTGTGACCTTAGGAGCCCAAAGGGAAACACAGATACCAGCTGTGAGCAGGAAGCCCAGGGAGGAGGCCTCGGGTTTGTGCTGATTAGATGTCACTGTCCTCGGTTCCCAGGTAGCTACCGGAATGCAGCAGATAGGCTGGTCCCATGGCAGGCAGGGAAACCTGCTGTCTCCAGCCTGGCTTGGAAACCCCTTCTCTGGCATCAAGAGAATTTGCCCCAGGAGCTGTGCGGAAGCCTCCAGTCTAGTCTCTGCCTTTACACTCATAGAGTCAAGGCTCTTAGCACAGATAAGGGCCTTGCAGTGAGTGGAGATCATGCCGCTGCACTCAGAATGGGTGACAAGGTGAGGCTCTGTCTCAAACAACAACAACAACAACAACAACCACAGAAAACCCAACAAAACAAAACAATAAAAGAAAGGTCATGGTGGGTGGACACTGTGGTCAAGGAGGGCTTTGACCTCTATTCCGGCCGGGAATGGTGGCTCATCCCTGTAATCCCAACACTTTGAGAGGCAGAGGCGGGCGGATCGCTGGAGCCAGGAGTTTGAGACCAGCCTGGGCAACATAGTGAAACCCCGTCTCTACAAAAATACAAAATTAGCTGGGCATGGTGGCACGTGCCTGTAATCCCAGCTGCTCAGGAGGCTGAGGCAGGAGAATCACTTGAACCTGGGAGGCAGAGGTTGCAGTGAGCTGAGATTGCATCACTGCACTCCAGCTTGGGTGACAGAGTAAGACCCTGTAAAAAAAAAAAAAAAAAAAAAAAGAAAGAAAAGAAAAGAAAAAGAAAAAATAATTTTATTCCTGCACGTTTATTACTTTCCTTCATTTCCTGACTTTTTTTTTTTTTTTTTTTTGAGACAGAATTTCACTTCTGTTACCCAGTCTGGAGTGCAATGATGAGGCGATCTCAGCTCACCGCAACCTCCACCTCCTGGGTTCAAGCAATTCTCCTGCCTCAGTCTCCTGAGTAGCTGGTATTACAGGAATGTGCCACCATG